CATGTGTCACACTTCTTTGGATTTTTAACCTTTGTTTTTCCCTTGATCTCTTTAGTTGCGTATTTCCACTGATGATCGCAACGTGAAAATCGATTTTGGAAACACACAAAACCAAACCTTGAACAAATTGTCATGTTGCGTGGTGATGTCTGCGGCATTCATACTTTTCATTGCTATTAATAATAATAATAATAATAATAATAATAATAATAATAATAATAATAATAATAATAATAATAATAATAATAATAATAATAATAATAATAATAATAATAATAATAATAATAATAATAATAATAGCACATTTTGCATAGTAGAGCACTAAAATAAAGAAATTCAGTGTTTTTTCTGCCTCTGTCTTGTGAGCATCATCAGCTAGGTGTAGTAGCTGCTGATACTGATTTCTCCTCGGGTGTCAAGCTGCACAGTTTCTTCCAGTCTGTCTTGTCTGCTGCTTGTTGTCGGCACCTGGAAAGGTCTTCCATGGTCTTCATTGGCACGCCCAGCTTATTCAGCTGAGCGACCAGACGTGTGGCCAGTGTCAACCTTGGCCGTCCACGGGGTGCTTTGTTGCCCTTGTCAAAATAGCCGCTCATGGCTACTTGCGGTGGCGTGTCCGTGTCCATCCGTAGCACATGACCGGTCATTCGTAGTCGCCTACATGCAACTGTGTCTGATATAGGGTTGCTCTTGGTTCTGCGGTATAGGTCGTCGTTTGAGATTGTGTCTGGGTATCGTATTCCAAGTAGTGATCGCATTTGACGCCGGTGGAATGCGTCTGCCTTGGCCATTGCTGTTGACGATAATCCCCAGGTCTCGCAATTGTACAGGAATGTCGGCAGTACGATAGCGTTGTACAGGCGTAAGCGTGTCTTCTCCGCTACTTTATCTCTACGCAGCCATAGGGCATACAGCTGGCCAAACACGCGAGAGGCAAGTTCCATCCTGCGCCGAACATTCTCTTCCTCCCCCATCAAGGAGCCAAGCTGCCTAGATGTCCGCCAGCTCTCGGATTCAGGTGACACACGGATCCACTCTGTTTTATCTGGATTTCCTTTTAATGACCAATCGTGCAGTGTGTCTGCTATTACAGGCAGAGCATTCTCAAGCCACAGCCTGCAGGTTGAATAATAGGAGATGTCATCTGCATAGCCCGTCTCTGGTGGTAGACTTGCGTCGCCAGCAGGGCGGGGCGCGAGACGAGTTCTGCATTCCTGTAGTGCAGCCTCCAGATAGCAGATGAAGAGAACTGGGCTGAGACTGTCGCCTTGTGGTGTTCCGATAGTGCTCTCAAACGGTTCAGCTGTGGCACTTGCAACCTTAACAGTGATAGTTGTGTTGTGGAGTAGGTGGTAGATGAGACATGTGCAACCTGGATTGGTGATTGCAGACATCACCTCCAGTAGCTTCAGGCGGTTAATCGTATCAAAAGCCTTGGACATGTCCAGGCCTAGAATGTGAAATTGCTATCGGTAACGAATGGCTCTTGCAGCGACCCACCGCTGGGTCCAGACCACGTCCGCTGTACTACGGCCCGGGCGGAAGCCGGACTGTGTAGTACCAAGATGACGAGAGAGTGCCCCGGATTCCGTGATGCGCCGAAGCACAATGATCGATATCACTTTGCGGATAGAGTTTAATAAAGTGATGGGCCGCAGCACAATGATGGATATCACTTTGCGGATAGAGTTTAATAAAGTGATGGGCCGCAGCACAATGATGGATATCACTTTGCGGATAGAGTTTAATAAAGTGATGGGCCGCAGCACAATGATCGATATCACTTTGCGGATAGAGTTTAATAAAGTGATGGGCCGCAGCACAATGATGGATATCACTTTGCGGATAGAGTTTAATAAAGTGATGGGCCGCAGCACAATGATGGATATCACTTTGCGGATAGAGTTTAATAAAGTGATGGGCCGCAGCACAATGATCGATATCACTTTGCGGATAGAGTTTAATAAAGTGATGCGCCGAAGCACAATGATGGATATCACTTTGCGGATAGAGTTTAATAAAGTGATGGGCCGAAGCACAATGATGGATATCACTTTGCGGATAGAGTTTAATAAAGTGATGCGCCGAAGCACAATGATGGATATCACTTTGCGGATAGAGTTTAATAAAGTGATGGGCCGAAGCACAATGATGGATATCACTTTGCGGATAGAGTTTAATAAAGTGATGGGCCGAAGCACAATGATGGATATCACTTTGCGGATAGAGTTTAATAAAGTGATGGGCCGCAGCACAATGATGGATATCACTTTGCGGATAGAGTTTAATAAAGTGATGGGCCGAAGCACAATGATGGATATCACTTTGCGGATAGAGTTTAATAAAGTGATGGGCCGAAGCACAATGATGGATATCACTTTGCGGATAGAGTTTAATAAAGTGATGGGCCGAAGCACAATGATGGATATCACTTTGCGGATAGAGTTTAATAAAGTGATGGGCCGAAGCACAATGATGGATATCACTTTGCGGATAGAGTTTAATAAAGTGATGGGCCGAAGCACAATGATGGATATCACTTTGCGGATAGAGTTTAATAAAGTGATGGGCCGAAGCACAATGATGGATATCACTTTGCGGATAGAGTTTAATAAAGTGATGCGCCGAAGCACAATGATGGATATCACTTTGCGGATAGAGTTTAATAAAGTGATGGGCCGAAGCACAATGATGGATATCACTTTGCGGATAGAGTTTAATAAAGTGATGCGCCGAAGCACAATGATGGATATCACTTTGCGGATAGAGTTTAATAAAGTGATGGGCCGAAGCACAATGATGGATATCACTTTGCGGATAGAGTTTAATAAAGTGATGGGCCGAAGCACAATGATGGATATCACTTTGCGGATAGAGTTTAATAAAGTGATGGGCCGCAGCACAATGATGGATATCACTTTGCGGATAGAGTTTAATAAAGTGATGGGCCGCAGCACAATGATCGATATCACTTTGCGGATAGAGTTTAATAAAGTGATGGGCCGCAGCACAATGATCGATATCACTTTGCGGATAGAGTTTAATAAAGTGATGCGCCGAAGCACAATGATGGATATCACTTTGCGGATAGAGTTTAATAAAGTGATGGGCCGAAGCACAATGATGGATATCACTTTGCGGATAGAGTTTAATAAAGTGATGCGCCGAAGCACAATGATGGATATCACTTTGCGGATAGAGTTTAATAAAGTGATGGGCCGAAGCACAATGATGGATATCACTTTGCGGATAGAGTTTAATAAAGTGATGGGCCGAAGCACAATGATGGATATCACTTTGCGGATAGAGTTTAATAAAGTGATGGGCCGCAGCACAATGATGGATATCACTTTGCGGATAGAGTTTAATAAAGTGATGGGCCGAAGCACAATGATGGATATCACTTTGCGGATAGAGTTTAATAAAGTGATGGGCCGAAGCACAATGATGGATATCACTTTGCGGATAGAGTTTAATAAAGTGATGGGCCGAAGCACAATGATGGATATCACTTTGCGGATAGAGTTTAATAAAGTGATGGGCCGAAGCACAATGATGGATATCACTTTGCGGATAGAGTTTAATAAAGTGATGGGCCGAAGCACAATGATGGATATCACTTTGCGGATAGAGTTTAATAAAGTGATGGGCCGAAGCACAATGATGGATATCACTTTGCGGATAGAGTTTAATAAAGTGATGGGCCGAAGCACAATGATGGATATCACTTTGCGGATAGAGTTTAATAAAGTGATGGGCCGAAGCACAATGATGGATATCACTTTGCGGATAGAGTTTAATAAAGTGATGGGCCGCAGCACAATGATGGATATCACTTTGCGGATAGAGTTTAATAAAGTGATGGGCCGAAGCACAATGATGGATATCACTTTGCGGATAGAGTTTAATAAAGTGATGGGCCGAAGCACAATGATGGATATCACTTTGCGGATAGAGTTTAATAAAGTGATGGGCCGAAGCACAATGATGGATATCACTTTGCGGATAGAGTTTAATAAAGTGATGGGCCGAAGCACAATGATGGATATCACTTTGCGGATAGAGTTTAATAAAGTGATGGGCCGAAGCACAATGATGGATATCACTTTGCGGATAGAGTTTAATAAAGTGATGGGCCGAAGCACAATGATGGATATCACTTTGCGGATAGAGTTTAATAAAGTGATGGGCCGAAGCACAATGATGGATATCACTTTGCGGATAGAGTTTAATAAAGTGATGGGCCGCAGACTGGTCACAGGCTTTAGAAATGAAAAAGAAATTATTTTTTCTACTTCTAGGGAAGTTTTGTAGCCTCTGCAAGGCCCTGTGCAGGATACGTACATAACATTATGCACAAAATTAGGGCTGAAACGCTTACTGTGTACTGTATTCCGTACACGGATTACATTCAACGTAAACTTTAGTCAAGAGTACATAACCCCCCAGAGTGTGCAACGCCTGATGCAGCTCTGCATAGGGTCTTGGTCGAGGGTAATCAGATTTTCTGATGGCCTGCGTACACTTCACACCGGCGCAAGGCCGGTCTCGAGGCAGGGCGCCGTTGTTTTTGATCCGAGAGTACCCGCGACTGCCTGGGTTCCCCTGAGATGTGTACGGTGTTATGACACTAGGATTCGATTTCCCTCGACCAAGACCCTATGCAGAACTGGATCCATGGATCAGGCGTTGCACACTCTGGGGGGGGGGGGGGGGTTATGTACTTTTGCTATAACTGTAGTGTAGGCAGGATGCTTGTGTGTAAAATTCACTGCCTTTCAGGTTTTCCCCGAAGACCACATGCTACACAACGTGCAGCCCGGCTAGCTCAGTCGGTAGAGCATGAGACTCTTAATCTCAGGGTCGTGGGTTCGAGCCCCACGTTGGGCGCTTACTTTTTTAAAATTGAAGAATTCTGTCTCGTGAGCACAGTAACCTTAGTTCTCCGAATAATTCATGTTGTTCTGTTTTCTTCCTTTTGTTGGCTGTTTCCGGCGTAGTTCTCTCGCAGAGCCCGCCCGCACGATGCACATGGTCCAGTCAGCATCTCCTAGCTTCTCAGCTAATCAATTGACGCCGCCCGAGAGCAAGGCGGCATGTCAAGAAAATGCTTCACAACGGTCCAGCAGCATATTATCAGGTAAGCGAGTCGGCAATAGGATGTTCCGTCTTTGATGACTTTGTGGCCGGCATCACCTCTGCTGGGTTTGAGTTCCGTTTGTGGATCCTTCCTTTGCATCATGGACTATCATCTCCACCTGCTGAATCAACTTGTCTCCGTGGCGCAATCGGTTAGCGCGTTCGGCTGTTAACCGAAAGGTTGGTGGTTCAAGCCCACCCGGGGACGACCATCTTTTTTTGCATTATAGTCTTTGTGCGCACGAAAGAATGAAAAAAAGGTGGGTGGAAATTTTTATAAAATTGGGGCCAAATAGCCCATATCAAGAGTGCATAAACAAGAGTATGCAACTGTGGTGATGGGTCAGTGTGCGGCGCGCTGCCTTCATTACGTAACTTGCCTTCATCACGCTCTGAAAGCATGCATTTAAACTCACAATTTCTCGTGCGAGCCCATCCGTTTTGCTCGATTCGTTCCAGTACCTACGCGATCTCTAAATTCTGGCGCATGAACTCCAGTTCCGTACGAAAGTTCATTTCAAACCAGAGGGAAAGTGCGGTGTTTGATTTTCCGCAGTGCGCGGACTGCAGCTGAATGATGTAATGAAGGCAGCGCGCCGCGCATCTGGCCCATAGAAAAGAAAAGAGATCACAGTTGCATACTCTTGTTTATGGACTCTTGCCCATATTTTATTGCTTCAAAAGGCACAAGATAACAAAGTTAAAGGGGAAGTTAAGGCAAAAATTAAAATTTCACCAGTTGTAGTCTTCGGGGTGCTGAGTCGAATGGTCTTGGTCCGAGAAAGCTGAGACGCTCCCTTCCTACTTGAATCCCAATCGAACTCGCGCACTTCCACCGAAACTGGGTGACTGCGCCCTACTAGATGGGGATTTGTATGCAAAATGTCACTAAAAGCGCCATTCCGTTCTTATAAAAGCACGGATGACCGCGATTGGCCCATATGTTGTAGTCTTTTGGACGCTGAGTCGACTGGTTTTGGTCCGAAAAGGCTGCGATGCAGCGTTCCTCCTTTATTCCCAATCGAACATGGTTGAACAAGCGGTCACGTGCTCCTGGGTGCCCAAATCACCTGGTCACCACGCCAGCAGGCGACAACTTTCACACCAAGGTTCAACTCGAGTGACAGGACTGCACCCAAAAAAGGTCAAAACAGGCTGTAAGTTGTACCCTGCAGGCACGGTGACCAGCTGACTGGTGTACGCAGGAGCACGTGACCGCTTGTTCAACCATGTTCGATTGGGAATTAGGGGCGAACGCTGTATCGCAGCCTTTTCGGACCAAAACCAGTCGACTCAGCGTCCAAAAGACTACAACATATGGGCCAATCGCGGTCATCTGTGCTTTAATAAGAACGAATTGGCGCTTTTAGTGACATTTTGCATACAAATCCCCATCTAGTAGGGCGCAGTCACCCAGTTTCGGTGGAAGTGCGCGAGTTCGATTGGGATTCAAGTAGGAAGGGAGCGTCTCAGCTTTCTCGGACCAAGACCATTCGACTCAGCACCCCGAAGACTACAACTGGTGAAATTTTAATTTTTGCCTTAACTTCCCCTTTAAGTACATTTATTGCTGCGGTAAATGCTGCATCTGCCGCACCAGTTCTGACACCCTTGCCATGGTGTGTGTCTGTTTGGGAATTCCTACCGACTGCCGAGGAATGGGAAAGGAGAACCCAAAGGGCATAACCATGACAACAGTGAGACGTATTAGAGGCGATGGATTATGCCGAGGAACTTTTCTGCAATACTGTTGTGTTGTTGTTGTCATGGTGTTGTAGTGTTAGTAGTTCATGAATGGCTGATCTAGAATCGGTGATGATGAACACTAGAGTCGGAATGTGTTCATAGGGAAGCTGAGTGCTGGTTGAAACTCAAGATCGTACTCACTAGGATCATTTCTATAGTACGTATCCCGTCTTTGTTCTCCTACAAAGACAACTGCATAAGCCACGAGGATGACATGTAGTATCCTCCCTTGAGCGGGAAGCGCACCAGCACGACAGCATCCATGTTTGGTTGCAAGAGTGCTGGTGATTGATGACCGTTCTGCACTGTCCTTCTGGTCAGTGTGGAGGGGGAGGCTGCTTTATGAGTGGCTTTTCTTTATAAATGAAAAAGAATTTTGTTGGTAACTTCTTGTGAAGTTTTGTTGCCTCTGTAATAGGGAGATTTAGTTCCCACGTAACGGAAACGCGTACGTGGGTGATCCACGTAAAGTGGATGAAGGGCATCCAGGTTCCAATGTTGTGTTTAGTCACACGGAACAAACAAAAGCATGAAGCGAAAGGCGAAGCTACCCGGGCCTAAGAAGCTCATCGAATATTTTGATTTCGTGCTTCGGAAATTTCTTCAGCTGAGCACCCTCACAGCTCGCAAAATGCGCTCCATTCTGATTTTCACCCACGTTCTGGCGGAACGTGGGTGAGCCTCCATACACGGTATGTCGTGAATCAGAAAACGTCTGTACGTGGGTCACTGAGTATCACATGGTACACACACGTAAAGTACCCACGGATTACGTGAGACTAAACCTCCCTAATGCCAAGAGTACATAACCCAGGGGGTTATATACTCTTGGTAATGCCCTGTGCAGAATATGTGTACAAAAGTAGGGCTGAAATGGTTATTTTGAATAATCAGTTATGCAATCGTTAGGACCCGGAAACAAACCGATACCCGTTTGATAGACGGCTACTTGTAGGCAGCGATTTTTAGAACATTTTGCGAAAAAGGAACCTTCATAACTACCTCTCCTCTGATGGGTTCCGAACATCATAGTGGAACCAAACAAGGCTTATCAGGAGCAACTTCTAGCTGTTGTGGAGTGTGACTGGTGCAGTGTTTGTGCCGGTTTCTTTAAGCGTCGTCTGGTCTCGTCTGGTCACAAGAATATTCCACCACTACTATTTGACGGACCTACTGAAGATGGCAACAACAACTTATTTTTTCTTCATAACTCCATCAATTCTTGTGGAAATTCGAATGGTCTGCGCTAAAAATCGTGTGGTTCCTTATGAAATCTTTGGACACAAACGCAACTGTACGGTCTTGTGCCAATCATTGAAATCGAACCCTGTGGTTGAACTTGCACATAGCATATGCTGTCCCACCACAGATCTACAACAAGCTCCGGGCTGAGCACCATGGAGTAGTAAAATACCGGCATTTTACCACTCCCCGGTGAGCACACGTGCAGCAGGACGCCCTGCGTACAGTTCTGTCCGGCGCCGAAAAACGGAGCGCCGAGGAGCGAACAGGCTAGAATTTCACCAGGCACAGCATACCAATGTATACACGGGCCGGTGACTCAACTATGCATAGACTATAGTACATGACAATAAGAACGGTTTACGCTACGAGCCTGACCCGCCAGTTTGTCGATGAGCGACGGTGTAGTAGTATCAGTGTTGACTTGTGCATGTGTGCTAGCAGTAGGTGTCATCAGTCAGCCTCGGACGATAGATTGGCATATACATGACTGTGCTGCACGTAATCAGTTACTATATTATTATGAACACTGGGCCGGGCTGGACGTGCTCCCTATGATTGTGTTGTGCATTACTAGTAGTAGTACGACTTGTGGTGACAAGTCATGGTTGGTCAGCATGCTGATGTTATAGCTTTGCGGCTGGCACTCTCTACATATGATTGGCTCCGGAACGTGCAAGTCTCGCATGTTTGTCTTGGCACGCAGATTCATTATATGCTTGCTGTCTGTTTTAGAACCAATCATGAACTATGCTCTTGCATGATAATGAACTATGAATAATGAACTATGCTCTTGCATGAACTATGAACTATGAACTATGCCGTGCCCAAGCCTCCGAGCTTGGCTCGCTGCTCGCGCTCTCAGTAGATCTGTACGTGGCTATGTATGTAGCACCTTTATAACCTACCTACATTGTACTGACTAAACAGTTGCATTCTAGCAGAAGAACGGAAGTGTTGCGTTGTGACTGGTACAGGCCGTGGTTGGGCGTGTGTTCAGGGTTTTCAGTTTGTGCGCAGTGTGGCAGTGCGCGCCGTTCTCCTACAGCTGTACAGTAATCCTGTACACGGATTCCATTCAACGTCAACTTTAAAAACTGTAGTGCAGGCAGAACGCTTGTGTGTACCATTCACTGCCTTTCTGGTTTTGCCTGAAGACCACCGGCTACACGATATGCAGCCCGGCTAGCTCAGTCGGTAGAGCATGAGACTCTTAATCTCAGGGTCGTGGGTTCGAGCCCCACGTTGGGCGCTTACTTTTTTTTCATTGAAGAGTTCTGTCTCGTGACCACCAAAACTGGCTTAGTTCTCCGATTGACTCGCGTTGTTCTGTTTTCTTCCTTTTGTTGACTGTTTCCGGCATAGTTCTCTCGCAGAGCATGTCCGTGCTGTCGCGAATGCGATCGGATTTTATTCGTAGTCACGAGCACAATGCATGTATATAACCAAGAATTCACAGCTACGTATACATGTATCGTTGTTCAGTGCATGATTTGTACGTTCAATCACTCGCATCCCTTTGTGACACCTCTTCTTCACTTTGCACTTCGTAACACTTCGTTGCATTTCTAAGGTTCAATTCTGGGCACCCCTTTTCTCGCCTTGCACTTCGTTGCATTTCTAAGGTTCAATTCTGGGCACCCCTTTTCTCACCTTGCACTTCGTTGCATTTCTAATGTTTCCGTTCCGGGCACCTTTCGAACCCATGCACTTGGGCTTGCACACGCACTGACATCCAACACGGACTGTGTGTACGACTATCGGCATCTTTGATGGCCTTCACTATCCATTTTTATGCTCACAGTTGGACTCGTTGCACCGTGCGTATCTTTATGTGTCACCTTTTCAGCTACATGCACGTGGAGCTGTTTTAGTTCCACAACTTGGTGCTCTTCTTGCTTCTCTTTGATTCTTCGCTACTCCTTGGGAGCTAATTTCGATGCGTTTGTATATTTATCGCTTGTATATTTCTGCTGACGCTGTACGCAAGACACTTTCACGGCACACTACTGC